GAACCAGTTGGAGTATCAAAATTTAGGTGATGCTTCCTTTTTGAAATTGGGTTGACTTTTCTCTCCCTCCCCCGCCCCCCCTTTAAAAAATATATTTATTTATTTATTTGGATGTGACAGGTCTTAGTTGTGGCATATGGGGTCTAGTTCCCCGCCTGACCTAGGATCAAACCCGGGCCCTGTGTATTGAGAATGCAGAGTCTTAGCCACTGGACCACCAAGGAGGTCCTCAGAAGACCTCTCTCCTTGATTCCTCCACGTGTAGGCAGTTGACCACAGAGCCAGGTGGTCAGTCACGACACTGTGAGAATCGGCAGGACTATAAAAGTCATCATAGCACTCCTCTAACTTCTGTCTGTAACAGCAGCCTCCTCATTCATCTAGATGCTGTTTAGTCACCAAGTCATGTCTGACTCTTCGCGACTCCATGGACTGTAGCCCTCCAAGATCCTCTGTCCGTGGGATTTCCGTGGGTTGCCATTTCCTTCTCCAGGGGATTTTCCTGACCCAGGGATCAAACCCGCATCGCCTGCTTGGCAGGCAGAGTCTTTACCACTGAGCCACCAGGGAAGCCCATCTACGTGGTTATTGGACTCTTTAAAAAACCTTGGCTTTATCCAGTGGTCTTGGTCTGATTTACTTACTCTTATTACTTACTCCCTAAGTCCAGGTTAAATATACCCTACTCACTGATAGCTCCCTGATACCCAGACTAGATGAGCTCACCCAGTCTGGGCACTCATATTTGCCCTTTCTGAACATTGACGCACCTGTAAACATTGATCGTCATCTGCCTTGCATATCAGTCTGAAAGCTCCAGGAGTGACCCTGACTGTCTTGTTCCTCAGTATCCCCAGAGTGAATAGCAAAGTCACAAGGATACAGTCAGTGCTCAAAAATGTTTGTTAAATTAACAGTTGGATTTTTATGATAAGCAACAAAAAGTAACATATAAATTGCCCAAAAAAAAGAGATAGAATTGATGATTGTTGACTCCTTATCACTCCCCTGACTCACTCTTGTTTAGACACTGTATTTTGTGGTCAGCAGGAGGTGTTTGGTGAGGAGGCTGCCCAGGCATTTGCTCCTGTAAAATATCTAATGCTTGTCAAGAGTTTTTGGAACCACAGACTTGAATGGTTCCGTAAAAACCATCCAGGGATGGCAGGAAGTCAGATTTTGTTCCTAAATTCCTTGGTGTACATATCATGATCTTTTCCAGAAGATATTTTATCAGGAAATTCTCTTATATAATTTCCCCTAATCTCTCTCCTATAGTCTAAGACTTTTATTTTCTTACCAAGGAAGATAAAGCACAACAAAGGTATAGTAGTAAGAATTAGGAAATTTTCCTTTCTATCATTGGAAACAATAAAAAATAACAACAGCAAAAACACCTATGGTCTCAGGGTTTGATAGAACAACTTGAACAGCCAAGCATGTAAGAGGTGAAATGTTGATAGGTATAATTGTTCGTATCACATAGTGTGAAATGCACAGACTATTATAAGAGTTTTGTAACTTACCCATTCGGAGCTGATGAGATAACATTCTGATTGGGCTTCTGTATCCACATTTTGATATGTCAGATGCATTCATGGAAAGGTTGAAGTTGGGAGTTCTTAGATGAGAGCATCTTTGTTTGTTTGTTTGTAAAGAAATCGGGCCATGCACACTGGAATAAAACCCTCCCTCTGACTGACTAGCACTAATGATGGACCAGCCAACCTCTCAGGACCGAAGTTCTTATTTGCCCTGTCAACACCTCAGCAGAATGTTCCAGCTTGTGAAACCACATCCCAAATAATGAGGAACAGAAAGGGAGATGATATCTACAATCTGCTGGTGGAAGGGATTTGGATAATCTGAATTGTGTGTTTCGTTTTTTAACCAGCCTTTTTTTCTGGTTGGGTGTGCCCCGCCTCTGCACTGGGTAGCATGTGGTGTCTTAGTTTCCTGATCAGGAATTGAACCCAAGCTCCCTGTGTTTGGAGTCTTAACCACTGGACAACCAGGATGGTCCCCTAGTTTGCCTAAAAAAATGCAATATTCATTGTTGAGTTGAAGACGTGTATAAAGCGCTAGATTCCTGCTATTTGGAGGCCAATTAGCCACACAAGTCCCATTATGTGTTTTCTGAATGAAATTTCAAGACCAAGATCTGATAGTAGACTATTTGAAGGCAGGGCTGTCCTAGAAGCCTGGGACTTAGACTTACCACTCCTTAGCTCTCCACCTTGAACTACACCAGTGCCCAGAAATTAAGAAAGGAATTGGAAAGGAAATCTAAAGCCATGAGTTGATTTCTCAAAAACATGTTGAGTTCCAGTCACAAGGCCAATTGCTACTATAAAAAATTACTGCAGACTTAGTGACTTAAAATGACACAAATTTATTATCTTAGAGTTGTAGGGATTAGAAGTCTAAAATGGGTCCTTGGGGGCAGAAATCAAGGTGGAGCCACGTTCCTTCTGGAGGGTGTGGGAAAGAATCCATTCCCTTGCCTTTTCCACCATGTAGAAGCTCAGTTCTTTGGCTCGTGGCCACATCACTCCGGCGTCTGCTTCTGTTATCACGTCTCTCCCCTCTCTGGCTCTCCTGTCTCCCTCTTTCACTTATAAGGACCCACATGATTAGATTGGACCCACATGGATAATGTCAGATACTCTACCATCTCAAGATCCTTGATGGAATCACATTTGCAGTGTCCCTTTTGTCATATAAGGTAACAAACTCACAGGTCCCAGAGATGAGGACGTGGACCTCTTTGGCCGAAAGGGCATCATTCTGCCTATTACCGCAGACAGACATAATTACTTGAGAGAGTGTGTGTGTGTCCCTTGCCTCCTTTTTCATGGCTGCCATGACCTGCACGCTCTTGCTAAGCTTCCTCAGGTTCCCATTCCCCCACCTCTCTTTCCTCTTCCTTGTACAGATTTTATTGAGGCTTCAGATCACCACCCACCTCCACAACCTCCTGCACTCACTTCCTTGCCAGGCAGCCACCCGGAGTCAAATCAGTACTGGTGTGGTTCTCATCGGTTCTTCCCATCAAATGTATCTCTTCCCCCCACTTCTACCTGGCACATGATGGAAGCCAGTTCATGTGTGGACCCTTGGTGGGTGGGAAAGTTCCTGTGATTACTTCTGGCCAAAGATTTGTCAGTAACTCTAGGCTGAGCATCTCATTGTTGCTCTGAGACCTTCCAGCACATCTCTTTCCCCTCTGATACAGTGATCAGCAGTTTTCAAAATAGATGGACTTGCAGTTGACATGAGAATAAGCAGGAAATAAACGTCATTGTAGCCATTGATATTTTGGGCCTACTTGTTCCTGCAGCATGGAACCTAACATACCCTGACTGATTGATGCATTTGGCGAAGATTAAAGTAAGGTAAAGAGAGGCATGAACAGCACAGGTTGCTCCTAACTGTTTCTCCCCATTCACCTGTCTCTACTCAGAAGACACTTAGGTTTCCCTGTTCCTGAAAAAAATGCCCATTAACCCCACCTTTGGGCTGTTGAATTTCTTTTTCAAGGAGGTAGAGAATTTAGTTCCTGAAGGATATAGGAAAGTGTGCCCAGAGACTTACCTTTAATCAGTGGTGGACTGTGTCTGCTATCATCAGTTAAAGTGAAAAAAGACCTGCAAGTCTGGTACCTGGGGGTGTTGGAGGAGTACAGTGGGGTGCTGTGGCATTTAGCAATAATCATTCCCTTTATTTCTTATACTAAACTCTCCAAAGGGAGGTGTGCTTATTCCAGGGCAGGCAGAGTGTGGAGAGAGTTGGAGGATTTGATAGAAATCACAGTAGCAAGGGAAGCATGCAGGACCCTACCCCCACACCAGGAAAAGAAAGGGATTGAAAGGAATCTACGCCAGGCTGCCCTGGTGGCTCAGGTGGTTAAGAGTCCACCTGCAACACAGAAGACCTGGGTTCAATCCCTGGGTTGGGGAGATCCCCTAGAGAAAAGAATGGCTACCTACTCTAGTATTCTTGCCTGGAGGATTCCATGGACAGAGGATACAGTCCATGGGGTCTCAAAGAGTCAGACACGACTGAGTGACTTACCCTAACCAACTCTATGCCAGGCTACCCAGGGCCCAGGGTGTCTTTTCTGGGGGCACTCACACCTGAGGCTCCTTGTTTTGTAGTGTTTTGATGCCCACGCTCAGCCCTGCTGGACCCTCACCTTAGACCAGTGATTGAGCTGAGGCATACCTCCCCCAGGCTCCCCTGGTGGCTCAGTGGTAAAAATTCCACCTGTCAATACTGGAGATGCAAGTTTGATCCCTAGATCGGGAAGATCCCCTGGGGAAGGAAATAGCAACCCGCTCCAATATTGGGGAAATGTCATGGATGGAGGAGCCTGGCAAGCTTCAGTCCATGGGTTCGCAAAAGCTTTGGACAGGACTTAGTGACTAAAACAACAGTAGCATAGGTCCCACCAGCCAAAGACGGAACTCCAGCCCAGCATCAGGGGTGCAGCACGGGAGGTGGATGCTTGCCGATGAACCTGGAACATAAGATGCATGTACCACAGAAACATTATTGTAACCAGGTTAATCATTGCCGGAGTTTCTCTATAACCACGGTTAGAGCATCTAACTCTTCAGGCTGCTCATCAGTGACACGGGTTCCTATAGGCGAGCCTCAGAACCCATCACACAACAGAGAGCACTGTTTCTATGGAAACCTGCAATCCATGACCCAAATATCCAGGTTAAAATGTTGCTGTTCTATTTAACTCAATGCGTGGGTCAGTCAGGGATTGCCAATACTAGATGAAAATGGAAGTGCTTTTTTAAACTTGTGGATTTTTTTTTTTTTCATTCTGCCTTTCCATTCCTGTCAGCAGGCACAAAGGAGGCCCCTCTATTCTAAAGTGTCTGTTTAGATGGAGACTACTGTTAGGGCAAGGTCAGCCCAGAGGAAGACGGAAATCCTTTTGCAGCGTTGTTCATTTGCTTTTCCTTTTATTTCTTGAAACCCTGCAGGGCGAGCCCTGCTGAGACTTACAGACAAAAAGCTTGAGCGAATGGGGATCGCCCAGGAGAACCTCCGGCAGCTCATCTTGCAACAGGTGCTCCAGCTGAAGGTGCGCGAAGAAGTCAGAAACCTACAGTTACTCACGCAAGGTACCCTGCGGCTGCCTAGTGGGTGGATGTGAGGGGAGGCGGGAGGAAAGAAACCCTTACCATCATGGCAGAAGGGAGCGGGGAAAAACTGGATTGTTTTGTTTTGGAGTTTTGGAGGGGTTTTTTTTGGCAGAATTTCTTTCATTTTTTTTTTTAAATATATAGATTTAAAGGTCACTTCCCTCCTAAAACTTCTCTTTTTTATAGTTCACTAGGGGGAAGGAGGTACAGATGATTAATGGATAAACAATTATCTGAGCTAATTTCAAGGTCATCCTTCACGTCCAGCTATAGAGGTTGTACACTGCACAAGTCCCAGAGAGTACCTGTAACATAGATCAGGATGCAGGTTCACCCCTAGAATTGCACAGTGTGCAGCTTGCACGACTGTCCAGGGCAGCCCAGGTATTTTAGTCTAACTAGCCTTTCTGCAGGGGCCTTGGAATTTGAGTGATACTGTGGTTCATACGGCCATGATATAAGTGGGATTTTTATTGTGTTTTGCTTTACTTCGCTTTTCACTGACTAATGGGAGAAAAACATTTTAGAGGTATGTCTCTGTCCATGTGCATGTATATATATATCAACATATATGTGTGTATATATACATGTGGGGGCTTCCCAGGTGGCTCAGTGGTAGAGAATATGCCTGCCAGTGCAGGAGATGCAGTTTCCATCCCTGGGTCGGGAAGATCCCCTGGAGAAGGAAATGGCAAACCTACTCCAGTATTCTTGCCTGGGAAATCCTAAGGACAGAGGAACCTGACAGGCTACAGACCATGGGGGTCCCAAAAGACTCAGACATGAGTTAGCGACTAAACAACAACAACACATATATATGTACATACATATGTATGTATACACACACTTTCTAGGAATTTTGCAAACCCTATTTATTATCTCGAAAAGCAAATAGAATAAAATTTTAAATAGACTATGGAGAATTTAAAATTGGAATATTGCAACCATATAGTTCTAAAGAAGAATCATTAATAATTTCAATTTGTTGAAAACGTTTAAAAGCCCTGTAACTGGAAGTGACAGAATAAAGTTGAATCTTGAAGAAAACTTTAAGGCGCACTATATGTAAGTTATATGTCTAGGTAAGACCTGGTTGCTATCAACTGCCATCAGCTATAACCCTGTTTTATTTTAATGCTCATTGTACACCATTTTGGATGAAAGGATGATAAAATATGTATTTTTGAGAGCCTTGGGTATTTTTCAATCTGTAGAATATTGTAATTGCATGCATACTGATATTGAAGAAATCTGGGTCAGCCAAGTTTCGTGTTATTGCATTTAGATTAACCCAGTAATAGTCTGTTTGCCTAAAGGAAGTAAAGTACTGTCTGAAAGATGACCGTTCTAGAAAGATAGATACAGACTTCAAGTGATATGGAAATATATTGGTTTTTTTGGTGTGCATTATCTGCTTTGGTCTCCAGAGACTTTCAATTGTAAATTTATAGTTAACAGGTACACTAAGTGACTTAAATATGAATCCAACTTAGTGATATACTTTTAAGTTTCTCTTAAGAAGTACAGAGAGATTCAAAGATTTATCACAGGAATGTCCATTGCAGTGCTAGGTATAAAACGGAGAAATTAAAAACAACCTAGAAGTTCAGCAATACAGGGAGAACCATATAATTCTATGTAAATTGAGAAGATACAATATAATGTAGTCATTGGAATTATATCTTCAAGGAATATATGACAACATGGGAAAGTACTCAAAGTAATAGGAAGAAGTGGGAAAGGTCACATATAAAATTTCATTTATAATATGAGCCCAATTTTATAAAAACATATTTTTATATGCACATAGGAAAAGAGTTGAAAATGGTTTAGCCAGTATTTTGATAATGATTCTCCATGGGGAGTAACACTGTGGGTGATTTTGTTTTCTTTTTATTTTTCTAAATTTTTCAAATCTTCAAGTATAAATCCGTATTAAATTTATAATCAGGAAACATACTCACATCATTTAAACTTCAGTCACAAGTGTCATCTTGCCCGGTTCTGTTTAGCATCTGGAGTTTCCTCTGCCCTGTTGTTTTCCTCCTGTGGTAATACATAGAATGAGACCTGAACTCATCACCTGTGCCTTTGGACTTTTCTTTTTTTTTTTGCCTCTGCTACTTACAGTCTGCCGTGTGTTTGCTTTGCAAAATAATTTTCTACAGCTTTCATTGCCCTAGATTCATAATATATAAGGTTTTTCCTGAGATAGTACTCAACTCTATTAAGCTAAATATATGTTTGTGTTCTGGGAAGGTAATGCAAAGTTCAGCCTTTTCGATTCGGTTGTTGTCATTTTCTTTCACTTTGAAAAGCAGTGCCTTTAGAATTCTTTCATTCCATTCCCTTTAGAAGAAGAGATCATGTTCTCTAGCTCTTGGATATTTTGTCTGCACTCCTATTACTTCTTTTATTGCTTATCCTTTCCATGTTAATGTTCAAACTCATTTTATGTCAGATGGCCTTTGAAAATCCATACCTTATTGAAAGGATGATTTCTTTAAAAAAAAAAGGAAAACAGAAATTGACAAGTCATTTTATGACTCTCAAATCAGCTAGAGTTGCCTTAAAACATTTTGGGTCTAGGTTTGCTATAATTAGAATTGTAACTCCATTCCACCCAGGTGAACTGAGTGACTTAACTTATATAAAAATATACCAGGCAAGTGATAATGTGATTCAGTATTGAATATTTGATCCCTCATCTCTGAAAATATTCATCACTGGAAATAATATGCTAGATAGGTATAAACAGATGTCTTAGAACATTCCTTCATTTGGGGAAATCCCAGCACTTGCCCCTGAAAGAGTGTAACTCACCTCTCCAGTCTCTATAGATACACTGTCTTTCTCAGCTCACATGGGACTATGATTCTAGTGTAGTGCAATTCATTCCTGTTTTTAAGAAATATTTTCCTGCTAACACATTTAAATGAGGATTGTTGCCTTCAAACGAGCCAGTTTGTGAGGATGGGGACTTAATTCACAACTGATTAAGTTTCTTCTGTGTTTCCTTCATGCTTTGGAAGGCAATTTCAAAACATAAGCTTTAACTGAGTAGCAAAAGCTTAGGAAGAACCTGAGTGTCCACCATTAGGAGGCCAGATAAGTAAGTTGTGCTACATCCGGGCAATGTTGTGTACTCGGAAGTTATAAACATGAGGATGAGAACTAATGATATGGAAGGATCTGGAGGTGCTGAATGAAGTAGAAAAAGCAAGGTGCAGAACAAGGTGGAGAGGATGCTGCCTTTGCAAATGAAAGAGGGAGAACTATGCATACGTGCTTTATGTACCTAAGGAAATGATACAGGAGAAACTAATACAGACTCTTAACTGTGGGACGGGGAAGAAGGGAGATAGAGGACTTATGCTTTTTAAATCATTTTGTGTCTTAAAATATGTTCATATTAACTGGTTAAAGAATAAAATATTTAAAAAACAAGGAGAAAGCATGAATTGTAGCATCACACAGGCCTGAATTTTAAATCTTGGCCCCAACACTTACTGGTGTGTTATTTCATGGTCTGTCTGTGTTCCAATTTCCTGATCTCTGAAAAGTGAGCTCAGTAAATCTACTCACCTCATAGGGTGTTATGAGAATTAAATGAGCTCAAATATATACGTCACTCAGTGCAGTGTGACAGTAAGTACAGCACAGAGTTAGCGGTCAGTAATAGAAGCCACAAAATTAAATCAACCTCCTTAATTTATATCAAAGCTTTATTTTTATACAATCCTTTATTGAGATGTAAATTCACAGAATATACAGTTTAAGTAGTTACTTAAAGTGTAAATTCAATGATTTTTTAGTATAGTCACAGAGTTGTATACCCATCACCACAATTAATTTTGAAACATTTTCATCACCCCAGAAAGAAACCCAATACCCACTAACAGTCATTTCCCATTTCTTCCCAATGCTCCCCAGCCACCAGCTTTTAAAAACCATTAATCTACTTTTCATTTGCCTATTATAGACCTTGCCTATGAATGGAATGGTTCAATACGTGGTCTTTTGCAATTGGCTACTTTCACTTAGAATAATGTTCCTAAGGTTCACTCATGTTGTAAGCATGTGTCAGTGTTTCATTTTTTTTTATTGCCAAATTGTATTTCATCATATGAATGTACCACATTTGATTTATTTATTCATTCATTAGTTGGACACTTGGATTGTTTATCAATCTTGGATATTTTCTATAATATTGTTTTGAACATTCTTGTACAATATTTTGTATGGACCTGTTTTCATTTCTCTTGGGTATATACCTGGGCATGGAATTTTAAGAGTCATAAGGTAACTCCATGTGTAACCATTACAGGAGTTGCCAGACTGTTTTCCAGAGCAAGCTGTACCCTTTTATATTCCCACAGCAGTCTATGAGGGTCTCAGTTTCTCCACATAGTTGCCAACACTTATTATTGTATGTCTTTTTTATTATAAACCATTCTAATATGTGTAAAGTGGTATGTCACTGTGATATTGATTTGTATTTCCCTACCGGCCAATGATATTGAACACCTTTTCAAGTGCTTACTGGCCATTTGTGTATCTTCTCTGGGTAAACATCTATTATAGATCCTTTACTTATTTTATAATTGGGTTATTTGTTTTTTTCCAAGCTTTATCTTGGACCCACCATGTTTCTCCATGCTTGATTACCCACTTTATTTACAAGATCTAAAGCTAAATATTGGACTGCCATTTCTAAAGAGGAACCCAATTCTCTAAGGATGAAGTCTTACCACTAAAGGCATTCAAAAGAACTTGCCACAAATTTGGAAATCAACTCCAAAATGAAACAAATGAACGGACTCTAAAGATTTCCTCTCAAGGAAGCAATATCCTTTGGATGTAGAAATTATACACAAATCAGTTACTTCAGTTTGTAATCAGACCTCCAAATTAGATACATCCATCTGAAAGCTCATTCTACCGTGTTTCTAGAGGAAGTAAACTAATAGATAATTAAG